GCCGGTTGAGCTATAGGCGCCGAGCCAGTGGTTTGGTTTCTAATGGTGAAATCAAGTGGGAATTAATGGGATTCAAAGAAAGACTGAAGACTACCACCTTACTTGCAGAGATGAACAGTTTTTATCAAGTCACAGAGGCTCAAGCAACAGTATGGCTGCCTCGTCCTCTTTGTGGGGCCATCACAAAGATCTTACATAGAGCTGAGGAAATAAACTTTTGAGGACAAAACATTTCCCTTATACACCATATTAACGTGATGTTATTCCTGAGATTAGGCACAGAGAGGTGGGCATTTTACCCACAGCATCTGCCTCAGTCTGATGTGGAAATGAGATCTAGGCCCACAAGACAGAGGGCACTACTCTCGCCTCTGGTAATGAGAGTTGTCCAGTAAAGCCACACCCTGCACACATGTGCTTGTGCAAACCCCATTTAGTAGAAGTTCTAAGATTCTTGGATACCTGTTTAGAAGATTCTAGAGCAAAAACATGTAGGGAGTGCATGGATTTCCTCTCTACGAACTTGGAGAGGGGCCTCTGAAAGGCATAACTGAGTCAGAAGTCCCTTGTCAGACCTATAGAAAGTATTTTCCAATGTCTTTTTGTTACATTGGACTACAACTTTTTCTACATTCTTTTTTATTCAAAGTGAACATTTACAACATTTGAATATCATATGTGGGAAAATAATTTTAAAATCCAATGTTCACCATCCTTGTCAGACAAATCAGATTCATTATCCCCTGAAAATTCTATGTGTACCTCTATTTTTCCATGCTTTTACCCTCAGTCCTTTTGTCTCTGTTTCTATTTCTCACTCCTTACCATCTCAACAGCATCCTTTCTACATTTTAGTTATCAGATCAAAAAGAAGGAAAAATACTGAAAAGAAGAATTTGAGGGAAAAGCATATTTCAATAAAGGAGACAGAGAACACTGCATCCCATGTAAAAGTGGAAGATTTGTGAAGGCAGAGGAAAGAGAGGAAAGACGTGCTGGCCAAAGTGGAGGAAAAGCTGCAGGGGTGACGACGGGCTTCGTATGTGAGCAGGACTTGCTCCTGGAGAACTTCACAGAAGAGCATCTAAAGAAAGAAAGGCAGAGGTATAGAACAGAAAATAAATTCACATGGTATAGCCATTCTTGCTTCTTGCATGTCATAGTTCATGAATAATTACAACTTAATTAGAAAATAGAAAACAGGCTCGGCGCCTATAGCTCAACCAGCTAAGGCGCCAGCCACGTACACCTAAGGTGGTGGATTCGAATCCCCAGCCCGGACCCGCCAAACAACAATGACGGCTGCAACCAAAAAATAGCTGGGCGTTGTGGCAGGCACTTGTGGTCCCAGCTACTTGGGAGGCAGAGGCAGGAGACTCGCTTGAGCCCAGGAGTTGGAGGTTGCTGTGAGCTGTAATGCCACGGCACTCTGCCCAGGGGGACAGCTTGAGGCTCTGTCTCAAAAAAAAAAAGAAAATAGAAAACAAGCTTTGCTTTTCTTGCTCCTGACTAGAAATACTATACAAGTGATTTCTTTGGGCAGTCCCCAGAACATGCTGGGGAAATGCTTTCATTAGCAAAACTTCCGGTGATATCACCTATCAATTGCATAGCTTCTTGCCTCTGTTTTACACATGAGAAAACTGAGAATGTCAAAATACATATGATGCCAGATTAAGGCACAATCATCCCTGCCAGGTCTCAGCTCTGCTGAGGAATATAGGTGTCGGGCGAGTGACTGCTGTCTTCCAGGAGCCGCGGAGGGCTGTGGGAACACAGAAGAGGTAAGATTCAGTCTAAATGGTGCAGTTCCTTTGGAAAACAGTCCAGCAATTCTTACATAGTTAAACACAGAATCAGTACAACACCCAGAAATTCCACTCCTAGGTATACATTTAAGAGAATTAAAGACACTGGTACACACAAAAACCTGCACACAACTGTTCACTGCAGCATTATTCAAAGGAACTAAAAGGTGGAAACAACTCCAATGTCCATACTGATGAATGAATAAACCAAATGTGGTATACCCACATCATGAAATATTTTTTAGCAATAAAAAAGAAAGTGGGGCACTCTCATTCTATTTTGTAGAACAAAGCCTGCCCCATTGCAAAATTTTAAAATAATAATAAATAAATAAATAAATTGTTAAAGGAATGAAGTACTAATGCATGCTGCAACATAAACAACTCTTGCAGGTGGCACCTGTGGCTCCGTGAGTAGGGTGCCGGCCCCATATACCAAGGGTGGCAGGTTCAAACCTGGACCTGGCCAAACTGCAACAAAAAATAGCCAGGCATTGTGGTGGGTGCCTGTAGTCCCAGCTACTTGGGAGGCCGAGCCTGTCTCTTTATTTACAAATAAATAAGTAAGTAAACAACTCTTGAAAACACTATACTAAGAGTAGGCAGCCAGATTCCCAGAACAGGCAGATCAGTGGTTCCAGGAGCTGAGGGCTGCAGGAAAAGGGAGGACTACTCCTTAGTATTGGGGTGGGGGGGGATGAAAATGTTTGAAAATTTGATAGTGCTGATGGTAGTACAACCTTGTGAATATATTAAAAACCATAGAATTGCATACTTCAAAACAGTAAATTTTGTGATATGTGAATTATATCTCAAGCTATTAAAAATATTTTAATCTGGCTTGGCGCCCATAGCTCAGTGAGTAGGGTGCCAGCCACATACACTGAGGCAGGCAGGTTCGAGCCTGGCCCAGGTCTGCTAAACGATGACAACTGCAACCAAAAAATAGCCAGGCATGTGGCAGGTGTCTGTAGGCCCAACTACTTGGGAGGCTGAGGCAAGAGATTCACTTAAGCCCAAGAGTTTGAGGTTCCTGTGAGCTGTGATGCCACAGCACTCTACTGAGGGTGACATAGTGAGACTCAGTCTCAAAAAAAAAAAAATTTTTTTTTAATCTAAATTGAGGATGAGGCTCGGTGCCTGTGGCTCAAGTGGCTAAGGTGCCAGCCACATACACCTAAGGTGGTGGGTTTGAATCCCCAGCCCGGGCCCGCCAAACAACAATGACGGCTGCAACCAAAAAATAGCCAGGCATTGTGGCGGGCACCTGTAGTCCCAGCTACTTGG